AAAAAAAAAAAAAAAAAAAAAAAAAAATCCAAAAAAAAACTATGTGATGCAGAAAAATAAACTGAACAACTTTTGCCTCAGGGTCACATCAAAATTCTTCACCAAATTTAAAATAAAAAATAAAATGTAAAAATATATTTTTTAAATTTTCATTTTTATTTTTTTGGCCCGGCCGGGCAAGTGACCCCGGGCCACTCTGGTAGCCTAGGGTGTAACCTGATTTCTTTTCACATCACATTCACGTCACATGTTAGGACGCCTTGGGCGCTGGCCGGATTTAAATAAATTCCCAAGGCCTTTTTTTTTTTTTTTTAATAAAAAATTCGTGAGTGTGTACAGAGCAATTGCCCAATGCCTGTCATTCTTCTTCTTCTTCTTCTTCTTCTTCTTCTTCTTTTTTTTTTTTTTTTTTTTCTTCCTTCTTCTTCTAGTTCTTCTTCGTCTGTTCCTCTCTTCGCTGCCATGGATTGGTTTGTCGACTGCATGTCTACCGTTGGATGATGATTTTTTATTTTTATTTATTTTTTTTACAAGAAACGCGGCTCATTTATTACCACACAAAAAGGAGGAGGCCGTGCATCCCTCCACAACACAACCCAAAAAAAAAACAATAAACAAAACATACTGGGACCATTACCCAGCTTAGGTGCAGGTGTTGGGAATTCTAGTCCAATCGCAAAACATAGCCAAATCCAGACTGCTGCGCTGACATTTCCCAACCACCTGGGATAAGAAAAAATGCGTCACAAGGCCAGAATGAGAACGGATCGATCTAAAAAAAATATCTATCGACTAACCAATAACCTGCCATCGTGGCCTGCAAGGCTAAATAAAACCACCAATTCAGAAATTTCAGATCAATGAGGCACACACCAGGGACCTTGTCCCACTTGCACCGTTTAGTTGAGGCAGCTCAACGGTGCGACAGCTAAAAAAAGTCATTTTAATTTCAATTTCAAATGAGAAATGCATTTATAAATGGCAGGAATACAATTGTTCTCGTTTTTCATTTTTCACAATTGGAGTGGCATACGGGCACTTCCACAGCAGAAAATGAAGAGGTGCCCAAATCCTGTCCAAAAATGGCAAACGGAAGGAGGCTCGTACAGTTTCTCTTCGAAAACGCCTGTTGGGGGAACAAGAGGGTCGTTGAACTAGCTGTCTCGAAAAAAGGACACAGCTAGTTCAACGGAAAGTGGCGAGGGAAGGGGTAGTAGTATTTGAGAGAAAGTATTTATTTCTGTTTTTTGTTGTAAGAAAAAGCAAAGATGGTCTCTATTGCCCTTTTTATTAAAAACGGACCGTTAGATGAATTGGACGACGTGCATCTCCCTTGTCGCATACAGTCACACAGGCTCGAAAACCCCACGTTGACCTAGCTCAACGGAGCTAGTGGGACAAGGTCCCAGGCCAGAAACGCCAAACAAACCTGAAACTAACGTTCTCTATAATCAGTAAAACTATCCTTTTTTTATTTTATTTTTATTTTTTTTAGAATCGCCCTTGCCATATCCCTCTATCCTGGTGGTGTCCTAAACTTACCACAAACATGAATCTACACTGGGCCCAAATTCCAACAAACTAATCACAAACATGAATCTACACTACCCCTACTGTCTTCACCCTTATAGAACGCCCGGTCATTATCGCCGCATCTGGACTGAAACTTGGGCCAAATGCACAGCTATAATGACCGGGGGCGTTCTATTCTGGTGAAGACGATAGTCTAGTTTTTTTTTTTGTTACTGCTGCCATTCCGGTCAAAGATAAAAGGGAAAAAAAAAAAAAAAAGGGAACCTTCCCCTAAAAGGAGGGGGAGGCCTCAAACTTAAGGCCCTTGCTCAGGACTGTCACTTCCTCCACGTCGTCCCTCTGCCCGGCTGTCTCCTGCGAGGTAACCAACAACCGAGTGAGCTGGTTGTTCCCTCATAACAGCCAGTATCGACTACCGTCTTCACCCGAATAGAACACCCGGTCATTATAGCCGTATTTGGCACAACTTTCGGTCCAGATGCCGCGATAATAACCTGGCGCTTTTTATTCGGGTGAAGACGGTAGTCAGTCCAACACCCCCAATGCCATACGGAAAAGAGCAGGATACATGGGGGGAAGAATAAGTTGGATGATGATTTGATTGCCTTCTAGTAGTCTAGGCTAGCAGAGTGGCCCGGGGTCACTTGCCTGGCCGGGCCAAAAAAAAAAGAAAAAAAAAGTTTCTACAATTTAATTTTTATTCTTAATTTGGTGAAGAATTTCGATGTGACCCTGGGGCAAAAGTCGTTCAGTTTATTTTTCTGCATAACATAGTTTTTTTTTTCGGATTTTTTTTTGTTTTCGATGTGGCCCTGAGGCAAAAGTTGTTCAGTTTATTTTTCTGCATAACGTAGTTTTGTTTTTCGGATTTGTTTTTGTTTTTTGTTTTTTTTTTGGCTGGGACCTTGCCTGCTGGTCTTTGCACGGGCTGGCCACCCGGGACCCGGGCGGTCTGGCTGGTAGCCCAGCTTCTAGTGTTTTTTTTTTTTTTTTTTTTAACCACTAGTACCTTTGCCGCTTCAGAAATGAGGGAAGACGGATGCCAGTTCCCGAAGAATTCGGAGGCTGGCCGGGCCCGACGATGGCTGCCATTGATAAATCTAATCGGCTCGACGGCCGTTGTTTCGTTTTGGCCTCCTGAATGGTCGGAGGCCTGCTATTTTCTAAAACGACAAAAGTACCAGTGGTTTAAGATGCAATTGCCTGGTAGTAGTATGCCTATGCCTTGTTTTCTGTTGTGCACAGTGAAAAAAAAGGACAAAGTTGGAAAATAAGAATTTCGTTTGTGTGTGTCACAGAGGGCGTGCTGATGTGGAGCAGCTCTTGGATGTCTTTTTTTAAGTTTTTTTTTTCTCCCTTTCCCCGGATGATTGCACTGCTGCATGATTACCCTTCTCTTCTTTTGAATGATTATTCTGTTTGTTTTCACTCTCTTTCTTTCTTTCTTTCTTTCTTTCCTTCTTTTTTCCCCCTTGCAGGTGGAAAATTTTGATATGCTTCCGGGCAATCAAGTTTTTTGGTGGGCCGCAAAGGGAGAGAGTGTGATGGAGATGCTCACAGGGGTGGTGGTTTCTCCAGCTCCACTGAGTAGACTATACAGCAACGAAACATTCCAGGTGAGGAAAAATTAAGGGTAAAAAGACAAGAGACAAAAGTCCTTTTGTGGCCTAACCTTTGGTCATTCTTTCTTTCTTTCTTTCTTTCTTTCTTTCTTTTTTTTTTTNTTTTTTTTTTTTTTTTTTTTTTTTTTTTTTTTTTTTTTTTTTTTTTTTTTTTTTTTTTTTTTTTTTTTGGTTCTCTTTTTTTGTTAGACTTGCAATAGTGGGATTTTGAACTAATGGACCTCATTTTGTGATTTTTTTTTTTTAATTACCTCAAGTCGTACCTTTGCCACTAGCACCTGTTTTACTACGAGTTTATATATATTTGACAATATATATTCTATGTATATACGATATACCTGTCTTACTATGATTTTATATTTATTTGACAATATATATGCTATATACGGTGAGGGGATTCTGCAGACTGTTGAGGGTTCAGCCTCCTGATGAGTCGGTGAAACTCCGACGAAACAGTTTATCACAGCCCCTCGTTTGTTGTCCTCTTCTCTCTCTCTGCCTACGGTTTACCGGGCAGTTCTGTTTGTGACGATATATATATACGATATATATAGTCGGTGAAACTCCGACGAAACAGTTTGTTACAGCCCCTCCTTTCTTGTCCCCTTCTCCCTCTCTGCCTACGGTCTACCGGGAAGCTCTGTTTGACTATATATATCGTACATATCGATATTTCAGCCTCCTTGGTATGCACCTGATTGAGCTTCAATGCACAACGAATTCACAAGTTCCCATTCACGCATGCAATTGCAGAGTAGACTCGAAGGAGGCAAATCCATATATATTTGACACTATATATGACGATATATATATAAAATGACCACTCCAAGACACCACACTAATTCTCGTGGAATATATCGTACATATTGATATTTCAGCCTCCTTGCTATGTACCCTGTTGAGCTTCAATCGACAATAAATTCACACGTTCCCATTCACGCATGCAATTGCAGAGTAGACTCGAAGGAGGCAAATCCATATATATTTTACAATATATCTGACCATATATATATCACAGATAATCACAGTGTGACAATATATATATTCTGTTTGTGACGATATATATAGTTCTATTTGTGACAATATATGATATATATATATATATTTTGTTTGTGACGATATATATAGCGCCTCGTTTGTTGTCCTCTTCTCTCTCTCTGCCTACGGTTTACCGGGCAGTTCTGTTTGTGACGATATATATATCGTCACAGCCCCTCGTTTGTTGTCCTCTTCTCTCTCTCTGCCTACGGTTTACCGGGCAGTTCTGTTTGTGACGATATGTATCGTCACATCCCGGTTGGTTTTGTCTCGTTGTTCGGTCCACGTGGCGGTGGTTTCATGTGGGACTTGTCATCCGGGTTTTTCCTTTTGGCATCCTAGTTGGCTGGTTCCCGTCGTTTGGCCTATTGATGGGAGGCGGTGCTTTTAGGTGGGAATCGTCGTCTGGGATTGTCTTTATATAGTTTTTTTGCAGGCAAGGGTGTTGATTGGTATCCTGGTTGGTCGTTGCCCCATCGTTTGGCCTGTGATGTAGGGGGCGGTGCTTGCATGTGGGACTTGTCATCTAGGATCTGTTATGTTTGTTTTTTGGCACCCTTGTCTGCATCCCGGTTGGTTTTGTCCTGTTGTTCGGTCTATTTTGGCGAGCGTAGCGGTGCTTTCATGTGGGACCAGTCATCTGTTTTTTTTTGTTGTTCAGCCTATGAGAGCATGAATGTTTTAGGAATGGGAATACCAACATACTGATGACGAACAAGGCCATCTGCTGTATATAGATATGTATTTGGGATTTCGTTTTTTGCAGGCAAGAGTGTTTTGATATCCTGGTTGGTCTTGTCCCGTTGTTTGGCCTATGAAGTTGGGGGCGGTGCTTACATGTGGGGCTTGTCATCCAGGATCTTGTTGCCCCCTGTTTTGTTATATTTGGCTGTTCCCTTCCTCTTTTCTTTGCCTCTTTGCCTTCTGGCTGTGTGCAAGTGGGTCGATATGACACACGGGGGTGGGGGCAGCCGCCGCTCAACCACATCAGCTAAAAAATGAATTGGTCTTTTTTGTTTCCTTTTGTTTGTTTTTTTTCGCTTTTGCGCTCTGATAACTTTGTGATAATATATATTGTCACAAGAGTATCAGAGCGCAAATGCGAACAAAAAGAACAAAAAGGAAAAAATAAAGGAAAACAAAAAAAAAGAATTCAGTCTTTTATCTTCTTCCTTATAACTCCCCCTGTTCAGAACCTCTTGCGTACAAGGCCGCCCACGTGGATGTAGGTTGAGCGGCGGCTGCCCCCACCTTCGTGTGTCATATCGACCCACTTGCACACAGCCAAAAGGCAAAGAGGCAAAAGGGAACAGCCAAATAAAACAGAACAGGGGGCAACAAAACAGATCCAAGATGACAAGTCCCACATGCAAGCACCGCCCCAACACACACAGGCCAAACGACAGGACAAGGCCAACCAGGATGTTTATACAGCCAGAGCATCGTAATTACACCAGGGAAGGAGGTTTTACCATTGCTGTCCTTGAAATAGTGATGAGGAACCGCCAGCTTGAACTACGCCATTCTCTACCAGGTGAGCTGTTCAATCCTCCATCCCGCATCTTTGCCTGCATTGTGCATGGGCCTGGCCATGCATGGCTATTGTACACGCCTCTGACCATTGGGAGGTGTGGAACGACGGTGTCATGGTCCATGCCATGATTGATATTACTGATTTCTTACTCTATGATGCTGTTCTCTTGTCACATCAAACTGTCCGCAACCTCCTTTATGTCGAAGATCAT